CACGGCGAGGGCGCGGGGCCCAGGCGCGGCGGGGAGGGCCGCCGATCCCGGAGCCCTTGTCCAGCCCCTTTGGAGTGAGGGCGACGACGAGGCTGCGCGGGGCCGAAACCATGAACCGGAGTTTCCACAAGTCTCAGACCCTGCGCTTCTACGACTGCAGCGCCGTGGAAGTCAAGAGCAAGGTGAGCACCGAGGGGCTGCGCGCCCCCTGGCAATGAATGGGGCCTGACCGCGGGGGAGGCGGAGGCGGAGGCGCCGGCGACAACTTTCCGAGCTCGTGCAGCGCCCGCCTCCCGGGCCCGCGCGGGGCCGCGGGATGCTCGCCGCCCCGCAGACAAAGCTGGCGCCTCGGAGGGTCCGCTCGGGACCGACGCGCCCGGAGGGCCGAGGCCGGCGGGAGCCGCCTGCACCGGGCCGGAGCGCTCTGCCGGAACTGCTCTTTTGTTCGCCCGGCGAGGGGCGCCCGGCGCGCCGCCAGTTCGCAGGGGGCGCCGTTTCCCGGGCGAAGCCGAGCCGTGGGCTGCTCGGGGGTCGGGCCTCTGGGCGAGGGCCCTGGCCGCGCAGCCGTCTTCGGGCCGTGGACGCCCCGAGCGGGACCCCGGACGAGACCCGGCCCCGCCCCCAGCTCCGCGGTGTCCCGGGCCCTCCGGCCCTGGTGCGGTGCGCCCCCGGGTTCCCAGGTCCGTGCCCGGATCCCCAGCCCAGCTACCAGCCCCTGGAGACCGGCGCCCGGCCCCAAGGCCCCGCGCCTCCAGCCGCCCGCGCCCGGGCCTGAGCGTGCCCGAACCTGCGGGTCGCCGGGTGTGTGTCCGGATGAGTGTCTGATAGGATCTGGCGAATGGGCTCCGTGCGGGGGCGGCTTCCCGGCCGCTCCTTTGGCGCAGACGCCTGCTGTGCGCGGGTCTTCGGCCGTGGACCCCGGGGTCCTTAGAGGGCCCTCGGCCTTGCGGTGACTGCAGCTCCGTCGCACCCCCTCTGCGCCGCGTCCTGCTCCGTCCAGGGCTCTGGACCCTCCACCCCGCGTTCACCTGGGGCCCGGCCTGCGGGGATGTCGTGTGGACACTGGGGCGAGGCTAGGGGCGCCTCTCCCCGGGCACTGCGACCGGCCGAGGTGCCGCTGGGTGCAGAACAGCAGGGGCTGCCTCCAGGACTCCACTCCCTCTTCTTCGGATCCCCGCTTTCTGGGAGGAGACCTCACCTTGCCCCCTACCCTAACCGTGCCACCACCACCCCCTCTCCTGCCCAGGAGCGACCGAAACCAAATGCCCCTTTTGGGTTGTGTGAGGGAGAGGAAACCGCAAGTGTTGGTGGGAAGCACAAGTAACCGTCTAGTTTCAGTGGCGAGTTTGGAGAGCGGCACTGCCCAGCCCATAGCCACGTGTGGTATTTACTCTTCTAAGGCTTTATTTTGAGATAATTGTAGACTGTCAAGAAACCGGCAAGATTCCCCAGTGGTAACAGCACACACAGTGCTGCATCACACCCGGGAAGTGTGGATGCACCCCTGACCTCATTCTCACCATCAGGATGCATACTTGTGTGAGTATGTGTGTGTGTGTGAGAGAGCATTGTGTATTTATGAGTGTGCATGGGGATGACAGTATGTGTGTAGGGGTGGAAGTGTGTATGTGTGTGTGGTGTGAGTGTGTATGTGTGTGTGGTGTGTGTGTGTGTGTGTGAGAGCATTGTGTGTTTTTGAGTGTGCATGTGAATGACAGTATGTGTGTGGGAGCAGAAGTGTGTGTATATGTGTTTAGTCCTCTTCAGTTTTATCACACCTGTAGTGGGACTACCAGCACAGCCACTCTACAGTGAGTACTTAATTTGATTACAATGAAAAACTCAGTCCCTGTGTAGCTCTGGCCACATCTCAAGTTGTGGTAGCCATATGTAACCAGCGCTTGCCTGTCAGCATGGCTGGAGAGGACCAGAGACACAAACCAGGCCTATATCCCCCAGGGGGGGTGGGCAGGGAGTCTACCTGGTCTAGTGGCTACTGCCTCTGCTCCAGCCAGTGGGGAGCCTGCCTCCAACTGCCCGTGTGGGAATGGCCACCCAACCCCCTCTCACTCAGTACAGGTCAGAGACATACTACAAGGCCCACTGAGCCTGCACCCAGCTGGCTGGCTGTACACCCCCCACCCCCCAGCCCCCACAAGGCTTTGAGATGATGGCAGGAACTTAATGTTTGTTCAGAGTGGCCCAGGCTCTTCTCTCAGCACACCCTCCCACAGACTTTGTAGTTGGTGGCCATTAGTGCAAGAGAGGTTTGAACCTATTTTGAAGAATAATTAGAAAAACTGTTTGCACCAGGCTCTGACTTTCATGAGGGTCCACAGGACCCTGTTTCTACTCCTGTGACTTGTGTCAAAACAAATGGAGGGAAACCTGAGGAAACACTGTCTTTATGCAGCCACACAACTTGGGAAGGTAGGCCAGGCCAGGCCTGTCCTGTTCCCTTCCAGAGCTTCAGTTGTTTCTTCTGTAAAATGTCACAGAACCTGCTCTGCGTGCCCCCCAGGACCAAATGACCAAGAGTGCAAAGACACTCCCCCGGTGTGAGAGCTGCGAGTTCGCATCCTGTGGCATTTCAGGGCACTGGGTCTGCAGATAACCCCTGCCCCTCTCGGAATTCTTGACATTAGCCATCTGCCACAGCTGGTCAGTTCCCAGTGGCTTGGGGCGGGGTCCAGGTGTGCAGTGGACCTTGGCATGATCTCGCCCTGGTGGCTCCCTGCCCTGCCCAGGCACTTCTGCTTTAACCCCAGTGGTTTAGCTGTGCCCCCAGACCAGCTGTACATTCTCGGGCCACATTTTCTCACTCGCCTTTGGCTTGTACCTCACCTCACAGAAGACCCGGAAGGGAGGGAGGCAGACTCTGCAGCCAGTAGGGGTGGGGATGGGGCGCGTTTCAGACAAGAGAGCTAGAAAGCCACAGGGTGCCTTTAGGAATTCAGAAATTCCTTTAACTGCATCATATTTGTCAGCCCCACTGGCGTCTGCACACTCTTGCTTGGAGGATCCGAGGCAGCATTTGACCCATTTAGTGAGATGCTGTGTGCATGGGGGTGCTGTGTCCTCACCCGCCCCCTGGTGGAGGCCCCCAGTGTTCCTTGTCTGAGTTACACATTCCCAGGTTCTTTCACTTCAGGCGTGGATTGCCGGCTCCTCATGGTGTCCATCCAGGAGCTAAGGGCCGAGATCCATGTCTGTCTGGCCTGCGTGCCTCTGGTTTTGTTGCTTCCCGCCTGCTTTCTCCTGATTTACCTCACTCTGAAGCTGCTCTGGAAGTCCTGCATCTACCACCAGCGTGCTCCTCTTCCTATGACCCTTGCTACATTTCTGCATCTCTTATAGCACTTGTTCTTACCAAGTAGCTTTGTATCATGAGACCCTGGAGGGAGGTCCCACTCTTTGAGGTTTACTGCATCCACTATGTTTGGAGGGGAATAACACCATTGAAGATTTCTATCAAGTTTTTGCTTCTTTGTTTAAATAATGTTGGGGGCTATTTGGATTCTGAAAAACACATTGTTGCTGTAGAAAATTAGAACCTACAGTCAAGCACACACAGAGTAAAAGGCCTCTCGTGCTCCTGTCCCTGACAAAGCTCTGTTGATGTGAAGTTCTGTGTCCTGCTAGTTTTATATTTTAAACTGTGATTTGGGTGACAGTTGACAGAGCAAATTCGTTTTCCATACAACAGTTCAGACACATTTTGTTTCAGGACATTGACTGCAGTCCCACCAATGTAACAGCTCTCTTCCCACTTCCTCCCTGTGGGTACCTTTTCCCTGTGTCCTTCTTTCCTATGTGTTCTTGCCCTCTGAGCTCTCTCTCTCTGTAAATATTGCCCTTCTGATCTCCTGAGGTTGATTGTTCTAGGAGTATGCCTACCTGGTGTAAATGTTCACCTTGTACACCTGTGTATTTCACTGGAAGCCACAGGAGAGAGTTCAATTGCAGGCCCGAAGGGTAACCAGGGGCCATAGTTTTGGGGGTTTCTCCAGGCTGTATCAGACAAGTAAGCCTGGACTTTTTTTTATGATTTCTAATTTTGCTCCACATTTTTCTCCCACTCTATCCAGGATCTCCTACACTGATCCATTTCCAAGTGGTTGATAGTGGTATCCAGGCACCATCTACTTCTAGTCTCAGGGTCATGTAGGCTTAGGTTCGCATGGTCCACTACTAGTCCCTTGGACTAATTGTTTCTGTGTGTCTTTGGTTTTCTTCATTCTGTCCTCTTCCTAGTCCTCTTGTATGCATGTATTCTTGAATACCCTTTTGTCTTGTAGCATTGAGGTCGTATTTTATGGACTGGAACTCTGTAGCCTGCCTCCCTTCCAACTTAAGAACATGTTGTATGTGCTTCTTGTGTCGTTCCTATTTTCAGAAATATTTTTAAAGGACCACATCTTGTATCTAAGCCATAATTCATTTAACCAATATCCTATTTGAGTTACACCTACTCCTCACTTATCGACATGGTTAGGTTCTGAAGACCAGGGCATTTGGTGAAAATGGAGGATGGCTGCATCATTATACAGCTGCCAGATTTCATCCTTACTCACCTGCCAGACCACTGAGGGTCATGGCTCGGCCAAGCTGATGCACACACAACTTCCACCATCACGGCCAGCGTACTCTCACTTCACACCTCAGAGTCCATTGCTGCCAGACTTTCCTATTGTGCAAAATGGTTGGGGAGTCGATTTTTTTGCTGTTGTCATAGATGTGAAGTGTCAGACGAGATAATCAATATGTGGGAAGTGGGTGTGTTTCAATTTTTTTGCTGTAATAAACAATGCTGTGAAGGACATCTCTGCAATTAAGTCTTTATATGAAAATTATAGAACATATGATGTAGATTCATTGTCTGTTGTATGAAGTGTATGAAGATTACCGTTTATATTAAATCAGTACAGAGCTCTGATTATTTCTTCAGGACAGAATCCTAGAAGCAAAATTCTGGGTGAAAGGGTATGAACAGTTTTAAGGCTTTGAATGTTTGCTACATTTTCTCCCAGACAGACTCTTTACCAGTTTCTACTCTGTTTCACATCTGGCCACCTGTAGGTCTCTGTCTGCCTCTCTGTTCCCCCAACACTGGGTATTTCATTCCTTGCCAATTTAATCAGTGAATTCTGATCTTTGCACATTCTTATCTTTGCATTTCTTG